ATTCCGGCCACCCGCCGTCCGCCGGCACTGTCTGCCACTGTCCACCGCGACAAAAGGACGCACGACACCCGTCCGGCGCCCCGCCGGCTGGGGCGCACCTCGGCGGGGAGGGCGCCGTCTGCCCCCTCCCCCAGACACACACTCCCAAGGGGCTGCGGGGGAGGGAGGGAGGTTTCCGGTGTCCCCGACACGGTTGGCCTCTGACAGAAGCGGTGGCGAGCCGGGCGAAATCCGTGTAATGGCTTTTGGGCGGTTCTATGGCCGGCTCTGAAAGAAGCGCCGGTGTCGGGGCTGCGGTGAGCTGGCGTCTCGCCGGACTGACGACCCGAATGGCTGACGTCTCGGTAAGCCGACGTCCTGACGGTAAACTGACGTTCCGGCGAGGTCGGAGCTGACGTCTACAACCAGAAAAAATATATTGAGGTTTTCTATAAAAAAGGTGCAAAGGCGACCTGATATGAAGGAGTATGATATCTGAGCTCACGATCAAGGTATAATCATTCTGATTCATAGATATAATAAAATACAAAAAAGTTTGGTAGGATAAAAAGTACACCGGTGTGTCTGAGGCTAGTGAGAACGTATAAAATACGCTAAAATGTAAGAATTTAGATGCGGCGCTGGTCGAAACGACACTACGCGACGTTACCTAATTCGGACCTCTCTGAGAGTAAGGACCCGATCGCACTGTCACTGTTGCTATTTGCGAATTAGGAGCAATGACCGACAAACGTGTTTGCCAATGACTGGCGAATGTGCGACACGTTTGGCAGGGGCCAGAGCTCATAGTCGGTCGAAGGGGTCCTTCTTTTTAACTGGGGTTGCAGTCTGCTTGCAGGGCAGAGGTTGGGGGCCTGTGCAGGCCTGCAGGGGCGCTGACTGGTTGGCCGGCCCTCCCTCCAGTTTGACAGCGATTGGTGTCGTTCACTGGTCTCAGTTCAGTTCATGTCACTGCCCCCCCCCCCCCTCTGAGCAGACAATCACGGCGCGTACCGCCGCCACCATTCCGCCGCAGTTACAGCCCGCGGCCGGCCACGGCACGTGGCACGTGGCACGTGCTGTAATCGGCTGCACGTGCTCACCAGTCCAATTATTGTTCGCGGCAGGCGTCGGCTATCGCGTGTGCGATGCAGCGGAGAGGGTCGGAGCTGGGAATGAGTTGTGGGGGTCGGATGACGCAGGGCAGAGAGCGAGTCACTGCTGCAATATCATGACCTTCTTTATGGCACGGCTGATTAGAAAATATTTGATGCTGTATTTGTCTCCTTGTCTGAAACTAATTGGATTTGTCGTTCAAATATTCGAACGACAAGGGTGGCAATATATATGGCCCAATTATTCTGAACTCAATGCTGACCTGCATCAATTCAAAATAAAAAATCGTCGAAAATTGTAACCGATCACGTTTAACCTTTTCACCTAGCGTTTAACATTCTACAAACAAAATTGAAAGAAAAACAAAAGGTGCAGAACTAACGGTTGGTCGCTGTGACCCATCTGAAAACATTCTATGCCTAGCCGACAGGGTCAGGGAAGGCATATGTGAGCCGTGAGGAAAAGTCTAAAAGACAGTCTCAAAATAAATACGTTGTTAGATTTATCTACTCATCGATGACGATTTTTAAACAGCATCGGAATTGAATTGATAACTCGTGTGATCCCCACCAGCGACCCACAACCAAAGCTGTCTAGCAATTATGAGCAATCAATTGTTCAAATAAAAGGCCACCAAAACTAGATCAACCCGTTCAAAAAGCCTGTGATCCTTAACCCTCGCCGGCACAGGGGGGTTGATGCAACCCCCCCCCCCCAGGTTTGTCGGTCGCAATTAACTCACGTAAAAAGCGGCCGATCGCGACGAAACGTTCAGTACCCTCGCATTGATCAATTTTACACCTACCCTGAAAATTTCATGACCCTGACCCAAATGACCTTTGACCTGTGACCTCTTTTCCGAGACCATGTTTGGCCGGAATCGCGATTCGGCGTATGTCGGCTCGCATTAGCCGCGCGTTTGCAAGCTTTTCGTGGTTTCAAACGTTCACACATGTGATTTGATGTTGCTCCCATGCATTAGGGTGGATTTCAAGGTCACCTGAAGGTCAGGTCAGGTCATTGACCTTTGGTGACCTCGGTTCACTTTTTCGAGTTTTACATGTTTCTAGGCTAGTTTTTGGAGCTGATTTCGAATTTAGCAACCATTTGAACATTTACGAAGTAGTTTTGGTGCCTTCGTAACATGTTACGAAGCTGTCAGAGGCGGTTGACACGTATTACGAATACCCGTCACGACCCCTACCGGTTGACCTGAACTGACCTGACTCGACCTGGTCTAAATGCTTAAAAACATCATCTCTGATCAAAACTAACACGATATTCGTGATCAGCACCCCGGAAAACCACATAGCAGCCACACTTTACGACTTTCTAACAGGTCCCGATTTTCCCGATTTTCGGGTCATTGACCTGACCTGGAAGGTCACCCGATGACCTAGTACCTTAAAGTTAGATATCATCGGCTTCCTCTCGTGACGGGCAACACGCTCGTTTTTTTCCGCGAAGCTCTAGCTCGATCAGGGGCCAAACACGAGGGGGGTCGTGCCACCGCCCCCCCCCCCCTTGTGCCGTCGAAGGACGCAAAATGGCCTGTGCCGGCGAGAGTTAAACGAGGGAAAGGACTATTTTCTTGTTTGGAGTCAATGTTCATCTTTCCTGTTATTAAATTTCTGACGAATGTCCTACGATAATTCTATATTCATTTTTGTTTGTTTGTTTGAGTTTCGAGGAATGTTTGAGCGACAGTTGGATGTTTAATTTCGAATTAATGCCTCCGGAATGAATCTCGTGAATTTTAAACAAATTCGAGAGTTTCGTGTTTCTTGGCAAAATCAAATGGCCTACTTAGCTGTTTGTGTATGAATTGTGAATAATAGGTAACCACCGAATCCCGAGGGCGACATTGCAAATCATTCAACATGCAACACATTTGTACTTTTGGACGATGATGCCGCTATGTTAGTTCGTGCCAATGGAATTCTTTAAAAATATCCCCCTGTGTTGTAGCTTATGTTGTGTGCCCGTCGAATACGTTGGTCGGACCGCGACTGCCTGTCGGGGTGCCGGGTGCACCGTTTTACGCCGGCCGCCGCGCCGGGTCCGATTCACTGGTGCCGGGACGGCGGCGTCGCACCGATCAATACGGTCACACGCCACTGCATACACCGCGTCATTCCTGCCAGCGGCCGTTTGGCGCTGTCGGAATGCCGAATGACAAAAGGCTGCGCCCGCATCTAAACCGAGCCAAACTGCATTGGGAACAATCGCTGCTCTCCGCGAGCAGTCGAAGGCTTGGGCTTCTCTTCTACCAACGCTTCTCTTCACTCGTCGTCTATCTGATTTAGTATTCTTACCGTCATCGACATGCCCAAGGTCCATACAGTCTGATTGCCAATTTGCCTCTGGATGTAACAGCAATCCTCAGTTGAGGATCAGATCGTGGACTTTACTTTCTAGAATTGCATCTATGGGTGTTGCATGGAAAGAGACAACAGTCGACTTTTACCGACATCCGTCCCCTCTAGCCGTCCGGCCGTGGCAGCGCCCCCGATTTATATCAGTTTTAATATTTGTCGTGCCGTCTTCCCTCTGCCGGCGCGGCGGCCCGTCCGTCCCGTCCCGTGCCGTGCCGTCGCTCGGCCGTCTCCGGGCGGGACGCGCCTGTCCCTCAGCCGAGCTCCTCTGAATAGCGCTCGGGCCGGCGGCGGACGCCGCTGACGGGCCTCCGTCGCTCGGCCGCAATTTACCGCCTTCCGAGCCATCGCGCCGCCGGCGACGGTTCCGGACAGACGGCCGGCTTTTTACTGAGCGGCGGCCTTATTTACGTTATTTATCTATTAGACTGCCGGACACAGGATTTTCCAATTCATTGCCGTCGCTGAGTAATTTCGCTGATTGTCGTTGCCTGTCGCTCTCCGTTGGGGAGACTGGTTGTCCGGAGGAAACGTCGACTCTTGGGCGGCGTGCGTCGCCACGCCCGCCTTGGCAGGGCCGCCCGGGAGCGCGCGGGGCAGGGAAATGTCATAAGGGAACGGGGGAGAGAGATCATAGAACAGGGGGTGGGCGCATCACAGAACAGGGGTGACATCGGCACACGGGGAAAGACGACTGGATAGAGAAGAGGTCAACAGGACAGTGGAGATTTCAACTAGCGTAGGGAAGATCACAGTACGAGAGCGAAATGACAGCACAGGCCGGGATGGACGATAGGATGGGAGAGATCACGGGAAAACGGTAGAGGGAGAACGGAGGCACGTCGAACACCCCGTCATTCTTCTGATCTATCTGGATCAAAGAGATCTTGACGTAGTAAGTTCCAAAGTAAGCAATAATGCCGAATGTTATCACCCACTTCTCCAGACTTTTCTCAACTATCAAAGAAACAATATTTCCATAGTGTTTGCAGCGGATAAACGTCTCAAGGAAAAATGCTAGAAAGGGTGACATGACATAAGCGAAGCATTAACTGGTAACTACTAACCAGTGCTAGAATGCCTTTGCAAACGAAAGTGAGCTTCGTTTTTATAATCCATATGAAATGTTGTTGAAATGCGAAATCAAGCCGGCTAGCATAATCAGTATCTAATCTCTAAGCGAGATCGAAAAGAAAATGAAATAGACAAGGTTGATAGGAGTGATGTGTGTTTCCGCTCATGATTTGTGTTGACCAAGCAATAAAATTCAAAGGTGCATTTGGCATTTAGAACTTCTGACTCAGGTAGTGAGAACTACGTTAGCGGATTATGATTTTGTTAGCGTCGTGATAATGCTAGGTTCCTACTTGTATCAAATGTGCATTGTGGAATGTGATTGATAATGTTAAATCTCGGACTACCTAATGTGTTTTGCTCTACATGCTTAATCAGCACCACTATTTAGGCTATAACAACTTGTCAGTACTGACGTGATACGGATAGGAAAAAAAATCAACAAACACATTTGTCATCACTCGCAAATGATTTATTAAATACACATGTCCACACCAAGTACCATCTACACACATAGGTCTCAGCCAGCGGCGGCGGCGGCGGCGGCGGCAGCAGGAGAGACTGGCTGCCTCCACGGGTCGGCCTTACCGGGCCGGGCCGGGCCGGGCCGGGCCGGCGCGGCTTTCAGCGGCTCCCGGCGGCCGGCGCGTCCCGGCGGCCGGCGCACAACGGCCGTAATCGACTAGCATCGCTTCTCAATAATATCTGCCAGACAGTGTGACTGTGACGGACACCGGCCTCCCGGCGGGCCGATCGGTGCCGCTCAGAGGACTCTACGAGCTGTGACAGGACATTAACCGCCGGGGGAGATCGCTCTGAGCGGCTCAGATCCATCCCGAACAGAACCGAGCCGGCCCGGAAACGGCCGGATTAACGCCATATCGGCGCCGGACCATCACAGGTTTTCACTAAACTATCGGAATGTGGAACGATAAGCTGGGTATGCCCGCGCGTCGGATAGCGTCGGGGAATTCGAAACGCGGCTAGCCGGCGTGACATTGAAGTGGCCTGATTTGGTTAACTATAATATCATGTCGTGGCGCTGGCACATCCAATGCGTTTGATGAGATTTGTACTAATGGAAACATCTAGGAACCAGGGCAAATACCTCCGAGTAAACTAGTTGACACAGTTGACAATAAAACAATTCGACAAAGGCACTTTGCACGTGCAGTGTCCAATGCCCGGGTTCTCTGTAATAAATATTTCACAAACTCGTCTCGACTGAGTTCAACAACGAGAGTCACCGGCCGGTGCGGAGCCGCGTCTGCCGCGTCTCCGTATCACAAACCAGCGGCGGGCGGGGGCCGGCGGCGGCCTCACTGCGGCTGGGCGGACCTCACTGCGGCTGGGCGGACCTCACTGCGGCGGCTCCCGCGCCCCCTGACCAGCGGCGGCCAGCAGCTGGGACCAGTGCACCGTGTGTCACCACCAGCGCGGCGCCATCAGCGGGTGGCCGTAGGCGGGCAGCGCGCCCATCTGCGCCATCATCGCCGACGAGACGGGCACGCCGGCGAACGGCAGCAGCTCCAGCGGCACCGGAAACACCGGGTCGGGCTTCACGGCACCGGCCGGGCACGGCTTGCCGTCCCTGACCAGCACCGGCACGGCAACCCGGCGCGGCGAGCCCAGCGGCAGCAGGCTCAGACCCTTCTCCTGGTGCGCCCGCTTCGTCTTGTAGCGGTGGTTCTGGAACCAGATCTTCACCTGGGTGGGTGTCAGCTGGATCAGGCTGGCCAGGTGCTCCCGCTCGGGCGCGGACAGGTAGCGCTGCTGCCGAAACCGGCGCTCCAGCTCATACGTCTGAGCCTTGCTGAAGAGCACGCGGCGCTTCCGCTTCTTGGCCGGCAGAGGGGTGCCGTCGGGTCCCTCACCGCCGCCGTCATCACCGCCGTCACCGCCGCCGTCATCAGGTCCGTCATCTCCGGCGTCATCGGCCGTCTCGTCTGCGCCCAGTTCGCTGCCGTCCTGCTCCTCTCGGTCGGAACAGTCGGCCGCAGCTGAGAACTCGAGTCTCTCCGACTCGTGGTCCCGCGCCGCGCAGTGGCCAGACGCCCCTGGAACGGAGAGGTGAGCGTCACTGACCAATTCCGATCGGCACGGAAGGGCTGGCGCCTGGCTGACAGAGGTAGTCTGGAGCTGTCCAAAGCGACAGACCTAACGGGAGTCCAAAATCGTCCAACACAGACTACCACCGGCAGCCTGAGACTGTCCGAAAGCCGAAACGGACTGCCCTTGGGACCGTCTAGAGCAGTGCCGTCTCTACGGAAATTCGAAGCAAGCAACGAGCTGTCACCGGTACCACGCTTGTCCACTCAGAAACATACGACTTCTTTTCATTGTTTTTGTTTTGTTTTGTTGGGTTAGGCCCTTTCGGTCCAATGGGACCATTTCAGAGCCGGGAGGATGATAGGATATAGGGGGAGACATTGGTCTGGGCAGGCACCCTAGTGAGTCACCGGGCCTGAGCCCATCCAGAGGACAGGCCACCCAGCCCCAAAGTACTCACTGCACCCGGCTACGGGGTGCGCTCCCTCGGGAGCAGCGGTGCCGCTCCAAGGGAGCAGCCCGCATGAGATAAAGTTGCCTGTCCAGCCCGGAGGTGGGTTACGGCGTGGAGGAGAAGGATTTCAGTATCCTGAGGATAGATGCACGGAACGGTGAAAGACTTCTTTTCAAAAACCATGGGGAATAAATGCTGCCGGGAATAATTTCCCAAGAGCCAGCGCCCAGCATTAACTTTCTGAAAGCTCCTGTTATTGCACCAGCGATCACATGTGGTTCGCATATACATATGTACACATGAAATCATAAGTTCTTTAATGTGCGGTACGGTGAACTGTAAATGTCGCGGTTTGCTCTTGCCTCAGCTCCTCCGAGATGGTGTCCACCGCGGGTGTGCCGTGGCCTCCTTCGTTAATCCGTGGACTGAGCCCCAGCACCAGGCTAGTAGGTGGGAAAATCCCTCCAGACATTTCATTTAACAAACATAATGAGCATTTCACGCCGGATAAGCTCTGATGGTGAACTGTTGTACCGTGACAGTTTGAGACTATTTGAAAAGCTTAGTTGGAAAGCAAATGAACCGTGTAAAAGAAGTGTGTCATGTCACTCTGAAGCATGTTTATTGTATGCATATTGCACATACAATACACACATCTATTTCAAGACGATACTGAGTCATTTTTACATTCAAATGTAAGGTTTTTGGTACCAGTTGACTTATGTATGACTAGGGCTACAATTTTGGGTATCTATCCGTAGCCCTCCGCTCGTGGACAGCAGCACGCACGCAATTTTCAAGAAGCTCGAGGAAATAAAGGGAATAAAGTTGGAGGAAATAAAGGGCAAAGTACGGTAGAATAAACCATCTTCTCCTCTCCCCTCATGTCGAAGGGTGGATAGTTGCCAGCGGAGTCAGCGAGGGTGAAGGATAACGATATTCGATAATTAGTTAGTAAATACGACCGCCGCTTTCCCAATCCTGACCGTTCGTACTAAGCCCAAAACGCAGTCAAATGACACAGATTGTCAAACGGCGGCAGCGACACGGGGCCGATATGCGCAGTGCACACTGACGTATCATGTGTCGCCTGCTGTAAATCCCGCGCCACGGGCAAATGAATGACCGTTGGCGACCAGAAATGTCGACTTTTGTGTAGCTTTCACGGTCAATAGCTATTCATTTCGACTGGAAACGGTCGGCGAGATTTAGTCAAACAAGAGAGGCACCTGACGCTAAATATGTACATACATTGTGCTTGAATATTCCCAAAGTTGTAATTGATGTAATCCTTCATAGGGTACGCTTTTAAATCTTGACACACTTTCCCTATTAATGTTTTGTGCGGCTGTGTCAACTCAACTGACGTCTGAGGAAAGACCAATTGGAGCATTCCACGATAGATCGACCAAAAATAAATAAAATTTACACCCTCATATTTTATTTTTTGCTTAAAATTGGTCTAATGGGTTGTGATGGGCGGGGAACCCAGCTGTGGCAAGGATTTTTTTCTGCGAACAACGGTTTCCGAGATATAGCCTCGGGCAGTTCCTAGAGGTCACACTGCAACCCTATATTTGGCGGCTTATAACTCAGAAACTATTGGTTTTCTATGGTAAAAACTGTATATGGTTCAACTCGCAATCAACCAACAAACGTTTTGGCTATCTCGGATTTTCGATTTTTGAAAATTTTGATCACGTGACATCTTGACCTTTTTTTGAAGAGTGACCTTGATATTATCCCAACTGAAAGTCGCAATTTTGTCTGATGACGATTAAAGCCTTATCAATTGTCATTCATATGCGATAATAAAAAAGTGGCTTTCGGCCTGCGTTGACCTCAGGTCAGGTCATTTTATGACCTCCCCATTATTACGAGCGGGAGCGACAGCGAGATCTCGAGAACAAAGCAAGATAGCGACAAGTGGTAAACGGCACAAAGTACACATGGATAAGGTCTACAATTTTTACTCAGGTCATTTTCAGGTCAGGTCAAAGATGACGTCACAGGGGTAAAAAGAAAGTCTAAATGGCGGCACTACATATATATGAAGTTTTTCTCGAATAACTTTCAAAGTATCCCAGCTAGGAACAAACTAATAGCACCATCGTGATCCTCTCGTCGATCCGCATCGAAACATGTGTATGTTGACCTCGAAAGGTCAAGGTCAAAAGTTGACCTTAGGTCACGTGACCTTAAGGTCATCATGTATATCATTCGATGGGCCTTGACGAGCTGAACACGATGAGCCTATTCGCGCGGCTGTATCTCAAACCTGTAAGGAGTTATTAGCAAAAAAAAACATTTGGTGACCTTTAATGACGTCACATGGCCCAAGAGCAACGTCACAGTTGACCAAGAGCAAAAAAGGTCCCAAGGTAGTCAAAGTTTGTCGTATATGAAGTCACTCATGGTATATTAGGCAATTCCGACGCGTTTTAGTGTAAAAACAAGGGAGCTGATTTTTCCCCAATTGACTTATAATGGGGTGGTCAAGAAATTGACCATCTTAGGTCATCGGTATTGAAATTCAAAACGAACTGGCGCTAGGCGAAAGCAAACACAATGATGCCTGTTCCACGTCTCTTTCTTTATTAGATCAAAAGGTACAGCCAAAACTATTTTGACTTCCTTTTTACCCCTGTGACGTCATCTTTGACCTGACCTGAAAATGACCTCCGTAAAAATTGTAGACCTTATCCGTGTGAATCCTGTACCGTTTACCGCTTGACGCTATCTTGCTTTATTCTCGAGATCTCGCGTCCCTCCCGCTCGTAATAATGGACAGGTCATAAAAATGACCTGACCTGAGGTCAACGCTGGGCGATAGCCACTTTTTTATTTTCGCATAGGAATGACCATTGATAAGGCTTTAATCGTCATCAGACATAATTGCGACTTTCAGTTGGGAAAATATCAAGGTCACTCTTCGAAAAAAAGGTCAAGATGTCACGTGATCAAAATTTTCAAAAATCGAAAATCCGAGATAGCTAAAACGTTTGTTGGTTGATTGAGAGTTGAACCATATAAAGTTTTACCATAGAAAACCAATAGTTTCTGAGTTATAAGCCGCCAAACATAGGGTTGCAGCGTGACCTCCAGGAATTGCCTGAGGCTATATCTCGGAAACCGCTGTTCGAAGAAAGAAATCCTTGGCACAGCTGGCTTCCCCGCCCATCTCAACTCATTAGACCAATTTTAAGCAAAAAATAAAATATGAGGGTGTACGGCTTTGGTCGATCTATCGTGGAATGCCCCAATTTGTTTGACGTGGGAAAAACGCTCCAGCAGAGGAGCATGTGTAATCTGCAGGTGAAGATGCACGTCACGTCCAAGTTGCGGGTTAAACAAACACCTAAGAATCATAAACGAGCAAGGACGGATCTATAGCGCTACTTATCGAAAAATGATCAGTCTCCCTTTTATTGGTTTTCGCTTGCTTTTTTTTCTTTCGACGGGCTGGAGCGGTAAAATGACTAAATACCGCGATATCATTTGACAGCGAGCTTGGGCCATTCACGATTAAATACAAAGTTGCCTTGTTACCTACCTATCACGATTTTTTTCAGAAAAAAAACGTAAAAAATGATAATCACAAATCGGGCATCGTGTCGTTATTTGAACAATGTTCCCCGTGTCGCTTGGTCTAAACGGCGTCGAAAGCCTATAAGAGCGCGGTAAAATGAAGGCAATAACAGGCCGCTCGCCCTCCAGGCGATACCGAGTATGCCTAGCGGCGGTCACTGACGCAATGCACCATGAAGCCGTGTGCTCACTGGCTGATGACCTATATCGTGCCGGTCGACCCCGCCCAGCCACAAATCGTCCCCCGGTCACGTGACCGCCACCGCTCGCGGCCGCAGCAGTCACGTGACCGTCCAGGAAATCTCCGTTCTGGCGTAATCGGCACGAATTTATGGTCATCGGGCAATTGGCCCAGTCATGAAAAATGCCGCGTCCGCCACCGTGAGAGCGGCCACCACTCTCAATTTGCCTTAAATGCGCCGCGGTCGCCGCCCATAAATGGGAACGGCGAGCGGCTCCGATCAAAACAGGCCATTTGACAGCGTGCCGCCGCCAAATAAATGAGTCTTTTCGATATTATGGGTGGTTTCGATATGACGTGTTAATAAAATCGTGTGGCCGTGCAGCGGTGGTCCGATGGGGGCCACAATGGATCAATTAGGGCCACGGCAGGCACGGCCCGGTGGCCGAGCCAATTAGGGGCCGTCACATTAGTGGCGTACGGCTAATGGACGGAGTGATGGGGCGCCGCGGCCGTCCGCCCGCTTAGCGGACTGTCCCCGAGGGTGGACTGACCCCGGGGTGGACTGACACGGGGTGGACTGACTGCTTAGCGGACTGTCCCCGGGGGTGGACTGAACCCGCGGTGGACTGAACCCGCGTTGAACTGACCCCGCGGGGTATACTGACCCCGCGGTGGACTGAACCTGCGGTGGACTGTTCCTTCGGTGGACTGACCCCTCCGTGGACAGACCCCTCACTGAACTGACTCCTCGATGGACTGACCCCTCGGTGGACTGACCCGCGGTGGACTGACTGCGTAGTGTACTGACCTGCGGTAGACTGACCCCTCACTGGACTGACCCCTCGGTGGATTGGCCGACCGCTCAGCGGACTGACCCCTCGGTGAACTGTCCCGTCGGACGTTTGTTCGACCCCCCTAGTGAATTGTCCGACTAGGGTTCGTCAGTCTCTGGCCTCGGTGGGCTGTCCTGCGGGGGATGGTCCGACCCCTCGGAGGTCTGCTCTGTCAGGGTTGGTTGGACCGCTCAGGCTAAGTGGTCCTACCGTCCAGCCCCTCGGATATCCTGCTGACTAGCAGCTTTCATGCCGCTGATAAGCCCGCAGCATTAGGGAGCCAAGAGGTCGGGGCGCATAGATGAAGGCGATTTTCGTGTTGCTTTAATGCGGTAAGCCCCAAATTTAAGTCCTTTTAGTCCCTAAGTTCTTGAAAAACTCATTTAGGTTCCATATCATGTTTCAAATTCATAATAAGGTTAAACCGAAATAAATTAATTAGTCTATAATATACAAAATATGACAATGTCAATCAACTTAGCAACTTTCTATTACATTCAGGTATCAAGATTATGTTGAATCACAATATTTTTCCTACTTCTAATTGAGGGTCAGCGGAGCGGTGTAGGGCTAATTTTGATGATCGATCAGTGGCGCAAATCTAGTTTACGAGTGCTGCCCCCGGGGCTTTAATTTGATAATGGCTGTGTCTCCCAGCCATCAATTAAGGCGGCAATAAGTTATTGTGCACAAGAGTGTCCTAGATGTGGTTTCCGAATGGCTGTGATAATGGATACAGGGCCCGTATGGTGGCTGGGTTCACAAAATATCACTGCCGATTGCGGCACTTCAATGTCATTAGTTGCGCTAATACACCGTGTTCATTAGGCAATAACTTAGGGCTAAACCCAACCATCTTCAGCAAATGTCGTTCATTAAATTGACGTCCCCTTTAGCTGCACCGCATTACATTGATTTCAAGTGACAAATGTGCTTTTAGCAAATGATCACTGACTTTTGCAATGACTAAAGGCTGGGTAAGTTGTTCCCAGGAGTGCTGCCAAGGCAGGGTGGGTAGACACATGGACATGGTGCACAAACGTGGCACGTGACCCTAATTTGACTTCAATGCACTCCTATTGAAACTCTAAACTTCGCGAGGAAATACAATCGTCAATTTTCAACAGAATCTTGACATTATTGTTAATAAAACTAAGGGTAACTAATTAAATCTGATAGTTAGAATTAATCATATCTAACCATCGGACCACGGGGCTAAATTTTGGAGATAATAGTAAGTAGGTATATAGAACGCCGGGATCAGTTGTGTAATAACGCACGTCAATGCCGATCATTAAAGGGACCCTCCCACCTTCAAAAAAGTTTATGAATTGGCATGAAAGTGATGTCGCTCGGTTCAGAAAGAGCGAAAACGAATATCTACCAAATTTCACCGAAAAATATTCACCGGTTTTCAAGATATTAGACTTTTACTTTTGTTTACTTTTTTGGGATCTCCGCTGTTTCTAGCGACTTTATTTTAGAAGTGCGGCGTTTGCGGCAGATGTTGCGCGCAAATAGCATATACCACCGCGTGCTACAAAACGTTTTAGTCAAACATTTTAAAATCGTTAGATATTTGCGCTGACGTCACACATTCAGAGGGGTATTCCTAAGCATTAGCCCCTCTGAATCAAAATGCTGCAATTTTGAAATTCAATATTTCCGATTTAAGGCATTTCTCGATGTTGTGAGTGCCGAAACCGGTAATTGTGAGCCAGGGACCCCATTTTGGCTATCTCAACTCAAATCTAATGTTAAGGTGGGAGGGTCCCTTTAATCTATGTAGGTAGCGACAGCATGCACACAAGTCAAGTGTAGGAGCTGACCTGTGTGTGAGGCGCACGCGGCGGGTGACGTGGAGCGCTCCTCGCAGGTCGTCTCCCTGAGGTTGAGGATGTCTCGGACAGAGAACCGGGACGCCTTGCCCCCAGCCAGCGCCATCTTCATGGTCCGCTCCGACCAGACGCGGCCCTGTCACAGGTGATTGAGGGGGCCGGTTAGTACGGATCTGACACATTGAGGCAAATACAGGCATAATAGCCGTTTTCACGACGGGCTATCCGGCGAATGCACCTAAATTGACCAAATCTGTACCTAATCTCTTTTACAGCAAATATCTTCATTTTATGAGTTTATTTCGGTGTTTAAATCGATGATGTTCTCTGATAATATGACAAAGCAGGCATATAAGCAATTAGTGCAACCCTAGCTGATAGCTACTAAGAGACACACTGAACCTAATTTGATCAAATCTGTACCTAATCTGCACCAAATAGTCACCAAACGTGGACCAGAGTCCAGATGGCCGTCGTGAAAATGGCTAATATGGGACATTACAGACCTGCTGACACCATACATAGCAGACCTGATACGGGATCGCTGAACCTGACACAAGACAGAACAAACCTGAAATAGTACATAGCATACCTGACACGTGACGGTGCAAACCTGACACGTCATGATAAAAAAGAATCGACATTAAGCACACGTTTTGGACCTCAAGTTACCGAGCTTCGCAACACGCTCGGGCCAGTGCTGTACCAGCTGATAAGACACTACTTTTTCTGAAAATGTTTATCTGATTCTGGCACGACAAAGCCAAGGACATGAGGGCATTGAGCGAAAACGTTTCTTTTAAGTTATCCACTTTCTTATTCCCCTTTTTTGAACTTAGCCTTCATGCTTTTTTCTATTTTGACCCCAAGATTCAGCTCCAGACGCTCCCGACAAGCCCGAGGAGGACATACATTCGCAGTAGGATCGCCATGCGGGCTTCCAGTGGGGTGGAATACATCTGTAGTCGCATTCCACTTTGTCGACTACTAGCACCGAGGCAATCATTTTCCTGAAGGTACAAATAATTGGTTCGAGCTGAGGTGGGGTGTTTATAAAAAAACGATCGATAAGTCACTGCTGTGACTTTGTCAACACACGCCTTCATCATCTAACATTTATGGACGATTCATCAGGATAAGCCCTCTGATTCATTTGAACATGGGACTTTATTACGACAAACTGAATCGTTTATTACAACGCATCTGCTGTTGAATGAATGATGCATAAATATGTACCTAATTACCTATCCTCCTGCAAAGCCTGAACGGGATATAGTGTAAACAGTATATAGTGTAGTATATAGTGTAAAGGATACCTATCTGCCTTAGATTTTTCACAAAAAAGGTATACATAGGCAGCATTAGCTAATTGATGATAAAAGACACCTGCATTAAAAGCTCACTAGTGACTAGAGACGTTGGATAACAAGAGAAAATCCCTTTATTAGCCCTTAAGAATAACAAAACATTTTGGTTCCTTCCCACAGCAAAATTTTCCCAGGCATTCCGAGATCAAATTTCTCGATTCGCACGATCGTTTCCGACGATTAAAGTCATCTCTAGCCGCCAAGCTAACCATCAAAGGCGCAGAGGACCACCTGCTACTACAGAGAGCCATTCGATGCTGGATATTTGGAGACGGCACATAGGTAAGTCGCCGCGCATTAATGAGCTATTGCCGAAGTTTCAGCAGGTACTTGCACAACGTCCTTCCTTTCCATTTAACGTGAATCTGTGCCTATGAATACACATTACACAATGCTCATGGGTCGTGAACGCAGCGTCGCACTACACTTTTTCCAACCTCGTTTATCCCGGTGCCATAAGGTAACACTACGAAGAAGACGGAACTTGCCAGATGTGTCCTTTTTAAGCGTTAGGGGGACACGCTGCTGCAATATAACAAATAACAATTATTCGCCACGTTAGTCGGATACCAGCATTGCCGGATCCATCATCAAAATAAGTGCATTGGACGCTCTTGGGGTGAAGGGGTCTACTAAGAAGTTCGAAGTACAAACCGTCATCGAATTTCGCTTTCTATAAGTCTACAGCGGGTTTCATCGGATAACTATAAACTATTGTTTTATTTTTGTCACGCAGTTATACGTCAGAAAACAATATATGTCCACCAATTTCTGACGCGAGCGGGCGGGGAAGCTTTAGACGGTTAGCTTCAATCCATATGACCACTGGCAGATCCCGAGGTAGCATATAGCGCAGTGTCAGAAGTCAATACGAAATGTTGTTTCCTTCGAATAGAAATGAAGCAAACTAGCGATATCTAACTAAACAAATAAGCACGAAATGGTATCAAAATCAAAAGCGAAATTCGAGACGGTTTGAAAATAAAGGAAGCGTCTGTGGGGAGGACGCTACGCATGACGCATTTCCACCAAAGCGTTCAGTAGGTAATTGACTGGACCCGACAATGCGTATCACAATTCACACGAGTCAATATATGGCGCAAAGTAAGCTTGTTGGGGATAACAAGCCATTCAGGGTCGCCGTTCATTTTCCAAGAGTAGGTACTGACCGGTGTAAAGTCGCGCTGGAGCTGGCAGACGGGTGTGAAGTTTCCGTTCCCGCTGCGGTCACCGGCAGGTCACCACCACACACACGCCAGCTAAACTATCGCCGTATCCGCGTCAGTGCACGGCGCCTCAGCTGGCGGCACGGGCCGGGGTGGGAGCCACTCGACCCGCACTCGGCTTCGCAGGGGCACCCTTTCGAAACACAACAGGGCCTCTCAGGGCGCCGCCGGCCGGCCCCCTCTCAGCCTGGAGAGCGTTGGAGGGCCGCCGAGAGGGCGGAGTAAGCTCGCCAAGTGGCTGCCATACAGACGGGGGGCGGAGCCTGGACGGCGCCCGGCCAATCAGCGACCGGCACTGATCGGCGAGAGTCTCTTGTGGTCTGAAAGGCCGGTCTTGTAAAACGAAACTATCTCAATCTAGAGTGCGCCCAAAGTGGGCGCTGTGAGGCGCAGGGTGTTTTACGATACTAATTAATGCAGCGGCGCCGCCATAATGCGCAGATTGGTGGAGATTTACGTGCGCGCTGGGCGTCGGCCGGCGGCGGCGGGGCTGAGGGCCGGCGAGGTGCCGACCTGGCCTGGACGAACCCGTGGCGGAGGTCAAAGGCGGCTAGTCTTTTATTTAGCGTACTGTTGGCCCCTACACATACATATATCGACCGGTGTCGATCTCCTCGACGGTATCCTCAACTGCTCTTTGATAGTGCCGCCGAAATGACGCTTTTGGCCCCGCACCGTTTATACCTTTCCTTACATCGGTTTAGTCGCGATGGAATTTGAGTACCAGCGTATCTATTGGTTCGTCTGTAAAAGAAATTAAGCATCCAGGTGGAAATGAAAGACGTTAATGTGCCTAAATTTAGCGTTATGTTCGTTAATCATTATACATAAGTCATAAAAAACACGTTCCCCATAATTTCACTGCAATTGCAAGGGACATTTTGATTTAGATAGTTGTCAAAAAAACCAGTGGTAAGTTGAAAGTTCAATGGTTAATCGTTAATGTCATTCAGACCAGGATTCAGACCTTTATTGGGACCAAAGTTTTTATGGAGCAAAATGAGCTTGAAAAGATGCCTAGGCCTGTCCCGTAGCTCAGTTGGTAGAGCATCGGACTCCCGGTAGTGAGAGCCCGGGTTCGAGACGCTCCGGCGCTCGATATATGAGACTCCTGACGGGGATGGTCTGCGGTTGGTGGGAGCAGCCGCAGCCAGTTGAAGTCAGTTGAGTGGGACAGGCCGTGTCCGGCTTTGAAGGGCACGTTAAACTTTGGCATCTAAATTCTCCCGTTACCCGGAATTGCGCGATCGGACGGTAGGGGTCGGGGTCTGCGCAACAAGCTCTGCTTAGCGTGGACTCCGGCTCTGTCAATCCGTCCATTCAAACATTCGAGCTAAATTAAAAAAAGAAAAAAAAATGTATTTTGTTGAGAAGCGAAGCCAGATATTTTATCTGGCTATGTTCTTCGAAACCTTTCAAAGAAATATGGATGCATAGGTACCTACAGGGTTGATGTTCGCGAAGACGGACAATGGGCATGCAGATGAGAGTTGCGAGGACAAGAAGGCACAGAGGGCAAGTAACTGGTTCTGGCGTTTAAGTATCCAGTCTGCGTTTATTGAGGTGCTGGTCGGTAGAAGCGACCAAAGCGACCTAAAGGGGACCTGTAGGGGAGATTGGGGCAAAGTGGCCACCCCAACGCTTCTTACGATGCCGACGCTTAATTTGTAAACTTGGGAAGATCCTTGCTATGCCAATGTGAGCCCTATTTAATTGTGAAAAAAATACGTGAAGAATCATTAACCTTTTCCTCGAAAATGTAAAAACAAAGGTCAATGATTCTTCATGTACCTATTTATTCTCGCTATGTTCCTCGCTAAAGCACTTCACACCATTCATCCTATTTAATTGTCTTTTATTTCAAATGCGATTCACTTCCAAAGGCGTTCACATATGGGAGATAGGTATTGATTAAATTTAAATCTATAGTGCATGCTGGTCACTTTGCCCCATACCATGGGGCAAAGCGGCCACCGCCGACTTCTAAAGTTCCGATATGAGAATGAGAAACAGAACAGTTGTCTCATGTACGACTACGGTATTTGATGTTGACAATGTTTAAACGATGTTGGATATTTAATTTGCCAATGTGATGGATTTAATTTGCCATCTTCCTGTCGGTAAACAAAGAAAAGACATTCATGTAAAAGCATTTATTTGCATTATTTGGTAACTCACGTAACCGAAAAGTCGCCAAGATGAATACATGAAGACACATTTCTATATCAATAACCTTTGTTGTCCAGATGGAAACAACTTATGGCTAATACGGAGCTGGCCACTTTGCCCCGTCCGCTTTGCCCCGAGCATACTTTCAGAGATAAAAATATTTCAGTTCAACTATTAGTGGGAAAAGACATTAAAATAGTTAAAAGATAGCTCCGATAAAAATGATTAGTAGCCTGGCAAAAACTGTTTTTCCGTGTATCGCAGAACAATGGCGATGGGTCGGAAACTCCGGTCTGACTCATTCGTGCGACCGCAAAGGGAAAAATAATTGGCGAAAGGGAAAAATAAATTGGAGCTGATGCCAGCTATGGGGGGCTAAAGTGATGGGTGACCGCTTTGCCCCGGGTGACTATTTTGCCCCACTCTCACCTACATGCAAACAAAAAACACCATCCAAGACGAATCGCAGTACAGCCGCCAAAACTCCACGGATATGACAGTGGTGAAAAAGGGGGGCATTTCCGATACCGGTCACAAGTCACAGCCCAGACCATAAAACACAACTAAATAGTGAACAACCCATGCCGATTGTCAGTATACGCTGCTCTGCGTTGTTGATCCAATATCATTCAGCCCCACCCTCTGCTATGCCTCGATTGCATTCCTCCGGCCGTTCCCGGGGTTGTTTACCGGTGTCAGTGGCGGCGGACGACCGTCGCCCGTTGGCACAGTGTTTGCTTATTCCATCGCGGCTACACGGTATTGACTCGACAAATTGGCGACAAACAGGCCCTGATCTTTGCTCACCTTCCGGAGGGGACGGACGGCGGAGCAGAAGGGGGACGGGGAGGGCGGGTGGACGCCGGACGGTGGACGGAGTAGGGGTCGGAGCGGGACGGACGGACGGGGGGACGGAGCATGGACGAATTAGGGATAGAGTGGACGGGTGGACGGAATGGGTGGGTGGAGGGTGGCATGGGCACACGCCCACTCCACCCTCATGGGGACGGAGCAAACGGGTGGACCAAGATGGAATGCATTACTAGCCTATACGGTTGGCGGCCCGGGACGGTGGATGGAGATGGAGGTGGTGCCGAATGATATGATGCGACGGATCCTCGGCTGATTTATCAATATCTTCCTCTTCCTCCTCCTCTCTCTCTCTCTCTCTCTCTCTCTCTCTCTCTCTCTTTCTCTCTCTCTCTCTCTCTCTCTCTCTCTCTCTCTCTCTCTCGCTCGCTCTCCCTCTCCTTCTGTTCCTTTCCCTCTTTCCCCGTCCCTTTCTCCCTCTCTTCCTCCCGGCTCTCTCGCACACACTCACACAAACACATTTTACTGTTCAATTTCCGCTGTTTCATTTGCATGCGTCATAAATCTGACACGCTAAAAGGGTCGAATTCATACACGTCACCACCAACTGCCAGATTAACCAGATAGCCAGAATACATGATGCTAAACGAGCGAATAAAAATCCGACAACGTTGCCGGCATAATAATATTCTCGGAGCTGTTTTTCACCGGGAGACGGGCTGTTGAGAAAATTCATTCCTGCGGATGCAGTAAAATTACCTACTATCTCTCACTTTTTCTCATATCTCTCTCAACTCCTGTCCCTCCTCTCTCTCTCTCTCTCTCTCTCTCTCTCTCTCTCTCTCTCTCTCTCTCTCTCTCTCTCTCTCTCTCTCTCTCTCTCTCTCGCTCGCTCTCCAGCCCTCTTTCTTTAACGTCTCATTATCGAGATATAAAACTCGAGATACAAAGCTCATCGATATATCAGGATATAAAATTCATCCATTTCTGCACACCGAAAGATATCCTGTCGGGGCTGCAATTCCTAGTCGATTAAAATGCTGCGAAAATGCATGATGAAATATAGACACATAATAAACCTAACCTAACCTACTGCAATTACCTACAAAACGGCTAGGTAGACGGTTACGGCGAGACAGTCGATTCAAGCTAAGATATTCGGACCCGGTTTGCCTGCCAGTAGTTCACTAGCCAGTAGTCCGAGCCGAGTCCCCCGTGTGGGAGTGGCGGGCTCGCTCTGTCGCCCGGCGCTATCCCAGTCGTTCACAGCCTTCTCACAGGTCAGAGGCGCGGCTAATCCTCGCCGCCTTTTTGTGCTCGTCCCGGCCTGGAGCGGCTCAGTCCCGGCGACTGCCGTTCCCAGGCTGGTGTGATGGCGCGGAGGTCAGACTGGGCCCGGTGCGCCGCGAGACTATATCCTGATTAATGGCCCGCACCATCCGGCTTTATTACACCTTTCTGGTAATCTCCGTCTCGCCCCGACGCGTATGTGTGTGTGCGAGACAGACACCTTGAACTTATCACCGTCGCTTACACACACGCACAGAGACAGACGGACGGATATTTCTCGAATTAAGCGAAACATTTTCTTTGCGGCAAAACCGTTTAAAACAGTGCCGACAAACCGTTATGAATTTCACTGACTTCAGTTCCAACACAATTGTAGATAGCCTTGAATGCAGCCAATAAAAGCCCTCAAAATCCCACAACTTCAAAGAACCTCTGTCCTCAAAACCTAATAGTCTAATGTAGCCCTAGGTCGGGCAGTATTATGGAAAAACGGTTCGATTTCCGGTGCCGCATGTTTCTCTAACCTACATGGTTTCACTCCTACTGCAGGGCCAGGAAGGGCAGTGCGCATGTCTGCGACAGTACAACCGCGGCACGGGTCACGGGGAAATAACCATTCATTGATTCATTCATTCATTCACGCGCGGGTACTTGCTATTTGGACTGTCGGGTATATTCGCTATTCACCACTGACCGTTGTGTTGTCGATGGTGAAAATGGTACAGCAACAAGAAATAAAATAGTTAGACCGCTAAAAGCCTGCAAATTGCACATTGCACAATCCACGCATTGTCTGTGACCGTGTGCGAATAACGTGGGTGCCCCAATCCCACCCAACAATCGGTCGTGAGCCTCCCATACAGTTCGATACAAAGGTGGGGTCGGCAGACCTTCCTGGCGTCAGTGAAAGCACGTGACGCGTGGGCAGAAACACGCCACACGTCTCACGAATTGCGCCATGGCCCCGGAGCAGAGCGTTTATACTGATCAGCAGTCGATTTGTCTAGCCTAGCCTGTTGCAGACATGACCTGCCCGATCTGATTTCGCCACCTACGGTAAGGCTGGCGTAGACCGCTGCTCTCTCAGACATCGTGAATCGTCGCAGGTCAACGCCAGTTCCGCTGATGGCTCGCCAGGGTCACCGGGTACGATTCTGTGTAAACGTTTCAGAGAATTCACCGAGATATAGCGGTCTATGATCGTCCATGACCGAATCCAGCGAACACGAATATGCATTTAATGCTAGCGATGAAGCTCTAGCAAACTTTGGCGCCCGTGACCTGGTACCTATTGTTTCGGCTATGTCTTATGGCCACAATGGATCTATCAGCACAAGCATAGACGCAACAATAGGTTCGTAAAGTTGAATAGACGACACTGGATTAGCTGTGCTATCACTATTTTGTGTAGTTAGGCATTTAGCCGTCTACTGCTATTGTCAATAATTTGCCTCCGAAAGAAAACATAAACACATGTATGAAAGAGAACGCCTCACAAGCATCAACATTCATGTATTGGAACATGTATACGTACATTTACTGTGTCTCATGTTTGCCAGTCGCGTCGGCGGCACCCCTCGCCGCCCTTTCACTGCGCTCACTGCGGTCAAGCAGGGCGGTCACTGCGGTCCTTATAGATCTGTCACTGCGGTCACTGCCGCCCGTTGGCTTCCCCCACCGGCCGTGCAGGCTGGAACAGCTTTCCACCGCTACGTTCACCGCTATATTTCACAGTGACTCGGCTACAGCAGAATAAAGAGTGGCCGATTCCGACCAACACAGATCTCACCACATTGAGACCATACAGCCGTCCAAGTCGAGCACAGCAGAGCTGAGTCCGCCCGCCACACATCACCGTCTCTCAGTTTAGTCCATATCGAGAAGACAGTCGCTCCTTCGCTGCCAATCAGGGCCTTCCCTCAATTAACCTGCTCCGCCGCCTGAGCCGTCCACTCGGGACTGACCGCCGCTATCTTCTCCAGGAGGCTGTTCACCTGGCCACACAGACCCTGAATCTGGGCGTCCCAGTCACCCAGCTCGCCCGGCTGAAAGTGAAGTACGCCGTCAATCTGATCGATCCGCCCGGCCATCCGTTCCTCGGAGAGCATCTGAGCGGCCACCTTCTCAGCTCGGCGCGGCGATACTTCAAGCAGGGCGGCCAGCGACTCTAAGGAGATGTTGCTGTAGATTTTTGAGGCAGAGAGGATGTTGTGCTCGACCACGGCGCGGTCGAGCAGCGTCGAGCCGTCGGCCGTGGTGGCCTTCTGGTGCTCCTGCAGCAGCGCTTCCAGCTCCTTCAGCTCCGGTTTGCGGATGATGCGGTCCAGGTACATCTTCTCCAGGATTGTGAACACGGGCAGCGACTGGCACCGCTCATCCTGCGAGTGACACAGAGGACTTTCAGTACGACACAGGGCCGTCAGTAGACAGAGCATCGTACGACACATGGCTGTCAGTGGGCAGTACGACACCGGGGCGGGCAGCCGTCAGTAGACAGACAACTGATCAGTGATCATACGACTGGGCTATTGCCTATTAGTGGGCAGTACGACACAGGGCCGTTAGCAGACGGACAGCTGATAGTACGACAGATGGCTGTCAGTGGGCACTTCGACACAGGGCCGTCAGTTATAGACGGCTCGTCTTGGGAGTACGACAGAGGACGGTCCGTGGGTGGCTCGTTCTGGGTGTATATACAAAAGAATAGGCTCTTCGGCTGCGGGCGGAGCTCACTGCACCGCTAGTGCTGAGTGATTAGGTAATGCAAAAGCAATACATACTTGTACGAACAAAATCATCGAGTACACAGAAGTCAAGTCGGTGTCCGTGCTAACCAAGGCACCATACTGAACCAGTTTCCATAAATCCTAAACCAACGCCTACCTTGAACAGTGTGGCCAGTTTTTTGGAGCGGGACCGGCCGGCCGAGGCCAGGATGGTGCATATGATGGCGTTGGAGAGCGCCCGCAGCCGCTCGCCCGACTCCACCTCTGGGATGTACGAGAGGTCAATGTAGCGCTGGGCCGCCTCCAGAAACTTGCGCCGGTAGTCGAGCACCCGGGCGTGGCACACCTTGTGGTGGACGAGCAGCTCGTGGTCCTTACTGGCTCCCTGCCGGACATCGCAGGTACGGGCGGCGGTCAGTGGCCGGACGGGCAGGACGAACTGGACCGGTCGATTCCACTGATAACGTGTATGCATGAGTGAGGAGTTAGCTCGTATTGGGCAAGGCTAACAAAATCACCCAAATTTAACCAGGAAGCATAGAAAAGGACGGCCTTTAACTCATTTTAAATTTAACTTATCGTTTTAACTTGATGATAACTTGTTAAAGGGACCCTCCCACCTTCAAAAAAGTTAATGAATTGGCATGAAAGTGATGTCGCTCGGTTCAGAAAGAGCAAAAACGAATATCTACCAAATTTCATCGAAAAATATTCACCGGTTTTCAAGATATTAGACTTTTACTTTTGTTTACTTTTTGGGATCTCCGCTGTTCCTAGCGACTTTATTTGAAAGTGCGGCATTTGTTGCGCGCAAAGCAGCGTATACCACCGCGTGCTACAAAACGTTTTAGTCAAACATTTAACGGACGTTCGAAAGCCTGATGACGTCATCAGATTCCCGTAATGGTTAAGAGATAGGGACCACGCTGGTCCCACCCTGCAAGTAAAGGGAAGAAATTTCTTGAACACCATAAAGCTGCGGGGGTTGCGACCAGGATAAATGGTGGTTTCTGAGCCTGGCCGCAAACTTGGCTATCTCAACTCAAAACTAATGTTAAGGTGGGAGGGTCCCTTTAAGTAAATCAGCCCTTGATAATATCACAAGAACAACAGCGGGGAAGATGCACGCCTCTCAGCGGTTCTTTTACCAGTACCGGGTGCCGGGTATACTCACCGCGAGTACCAGTGTACTCACCACCAGTACCCCGACGCGTGTGATGTACGTCTCTGGGTGGTAGCAGTTCCAGTGTACCCGTACTAGTACCAATGTACATACTCACCACGAGTACCCCGGCGCGTGTGATGTACGTCTCTGGGTGGTAGCAGTACCAGTGTACTCGTACAAGTACCAGTGTATGTACTCACCACGAGCACCCCGGCGCGTGTGATGTACGTCTCTGGGTGGTACAAGTACCAGTGTACCGGTGTACCAGTACCAGTGTACTCACCACGAGTACCCCGGCGCGTGTGATGTACGTCTCTGGGTGGTACCAGTACCAGTCTACTCACCACGAGCACCCCGGCGCGTGTGATGTAGGTCTCGGCCGTGTCCGGGTCGTCCTCCTCCAGACACAATCGGGCGATTTTGACGTACGTCTGCAGCCGGTACTCTGCCGAGTACTGCTTCTGACCCGTCTCCAGTGGGATGGCGGTCAGCACCTTGGCCGCCTCGCGCCACCGCTGCTGGCGCTCGTACACGCCGGCCAGGTGCTGACGGATCATGGCCAGCTGAGGGCGGACACGGCACGGGTGGTTAGGTGCTGACAGATCATAGCAAGTGCTGACCGGTCATGGCTAACTCGAGAGGAAACAGCGCATGTGGTAATTAGTAGACGTGTAAGAGAGACGCAGCTATTCAAGCCGAGTCAGCAGGCCATTGCGCTGAAATGCTGAGCGAGCCCACTTATCAGTTGTTTGAACAGCTGGTCTTAACAGTTGCATAAAAAAGAAACTACCATCACATGTCCCTTTGGCAATACACTACCAGTCTGACTTGTAACACGATAATACCGTGCACTACCGATCTCTCCCGTAACACAGGGAACAAAAGCTACACCACCGTTTTCGCCCGGTTCAAAAACACTGCACTAACCGCTCTTACCTGTTCAAACGCGCTAAACGATCAACCGCCATTCTCAACCGCTCCACTAGCATCAAACCACCATTCCCACCTGTTCCTCGAAGGAGATGGCGCGCGGCTGGACCGTCTCCAGGACAAACAGCGCCACCTGCTGGGCCGTGTTGTCCGGCAGACGGAGCAGGTGCGAGGACAGCTCGCTCAGCAGCTGACGCGATATCACCAGGCTGACGTTTTCGTTCACCACGTGACGGACGAACAGACGCACCCCCTCCAGCATCTCGGGCTCAGCGCAGGCGAAAATGGCGTCAAGCAGGGACGAGTACCTGACCATGACAGGGACGGGGAGATGGTGTAAGTCGGATGGCAACAAGTCGGATGTAAGTCGGTCGATCGAGTCAGGACCATGATCTTGACAAATAATGGCACAACGAAATACAAACTGCCTAAACAGCTCTTTCTACACAAAGTTAGCATTAAAAATGTGCCACCATCTATCCGTCGTATGGTTAACATTGGATTAAATTATCACCAGTGAACCGAGCTCGGGCGACGTCGGGTGGTGGGTCCGTGGCAGCGTTGGAATTGTGATCTCTTTCTGCTCCCGGCACCTTACTTTCCGGGTGGGTTAGCCCTGTCCAGCATTTAGTCTTTCGGGACCCGCTCAGGGCCGCGGCTGTTTTCGAGGCTCGCTCCAGGCGAGATGCAAAATTGGTAGTCACACGGTGCTTAGTTAGGGCCTCTGAATATACGAATTCGAAATAAATCGATTCTATTAAGTCCTTTTCTGTCAATTACATGCATACAATTGACAATAACTCTGGACTAGGCTGGTTTGGCTAGCCCTAAATATGCTTCATGTGACTATTAACTTTACATCTCGGCAAAAACAGCCGTAGCTCCGAGTGGGTCCCGAAAAGCTAAAGACGAAAGCCTAAGCACTGGACAGTGGACGGGGTTAGCCCATCCAGATAATAAAACGCTGGGACCAGAAAGAGACCACAATTCCAACGCTGGTCCATGGTGTCATTCGCAACAAACACTGCTTAGCTGGGCACCCAGGCCCACAGCCACCTATTCAACCATTCCAAAGAAGGCATACTGAACCATCCATCAGCTACGCTCACCTGGTCACCAGCTCCTTGTGCGACTCTGCACTGCCAGAGAGCTCCATCAGCTTCATTTTTATGGCGTTAGTTGACATTGTAGAGGCAGTTGCCGATTCTCGCAGCACAGACAAATGGGGTCACCCTGAAACAATAGTGCAAAAGAATGTCAATGTGGGATATCAGTGAATAATGATAAAACTTATTTTCCCTTTCAGCATGAAAAAGTATGCTGATAACACACTGCACCAACATAGTGAATAATTGAACTGTTTGTGGAAGGGCCGCAGAGTCAGAGTCAAAGCAGAGTCAGAGTCAATCAGAGTTAACAGTTCTGCTCAGAGCTTGAATTACCAAAATCTTACCAACTCTGACTTCAGAGTCAAAGTTAACATCGCATGGCCCAAAGTCATGCCCTACAAGTTCATTGTCCCTACCAGCCAAGGTGATTGTCAAGAAATGAGTTTAAGCAAAAAGCTGGGGAAAGACTCTTGGCCCTTTTACGATCACTTAAATCAATGTTTCAAGAACATGTTGAGCGAACTGGATGAGGCCACATTTCCCAATTTATTTGGACGTAAGCTTTGTAATCTGTCTCTAAAGCTATAATAATAATCGCACAACCTCTACTCACCAAGCTATGTAAAGATCGAGACACGGTATATAGAGAACTGATCGAGATTCAGAGCAAAACCAACGCAAAAACGGGTACAAGGCAGGGTACAAGGTGCAAACACTCAGCACAGTGTTCGGAATTACCGTGTGAGCAGGCCTGCGAGTGTCAGTAGCAGGTAGAAGCCAATGGTATAGCGGCAGCAGCCAACGTCAGCAACAAATGACCAATTAAATTGGGGTACGCGGCGACAGCGTCTATTCAAGAACATAATCAAGTGAATTTGAAGGAAACATGTGCGCCATTGATGAAGCAAATCTTTGCTGCCATATTTACAAAACCTCTAGCTCCCAAATTTTTCCCACTATATTCACATTTATTTTAGGTTGTACCAGAGTTCGCAGCATGCACTGATTTTTATCTTTTGTTAATGGCAACAGGGAAGTACCGAAAGGCTTGTAAGAGGCATGTGAATACATCATATATTGTTTACTTTGGACATGTGTGGACATGCTTTTCACTTGTCAACATAAAGGCATGAAACATATGCATATGTACCTACCCATGCCACGTAAAAAGCACTGACGCGCCTCGAAAAGTGGCTTACAAGCAATATTCATTTGGCATGAACCTACTAGATAATACCGCCGATCATACACATTTCGTACATAATATACAAAGACAAAACCCTATACTTTTATCTCGCATAGCCTCTCCCATGTCGTGCACATAACACATTCACTTCGAAAACAAAATAACAAGTCTGCAGAAACGACATTCTCAAAGACGCTAAAGCAGTTACGTCCAATCACAGTACGTGTCAAATCGCCGACATCCCCGTTCCCGCTCTAACAGGCAGGGCTGCGGAGTAGATGGATTTTCGGCGACTCCGACTCCGACTCCGGCTTTCAAAAACCAGCTCCGACTCCGACTCCGGGCAGAATTGTCGACTCCGACCGACTCCAACTCCCGACTCCGACTCCGCAGACCTAGCAGGGCTGCGGAGTCGACAGATTTTTGGTGACTCCGACTCCGACTCCGGCTCGGGTTTCTAAAATCGACTCCGACTTCGACTCCGACTCCGGTCACAACTGTCGACTCCGACCGACTCCGACTCCGACTCCGACTCCGACTCCGCAGCCCTGCTAACAGGTAACACTCTCGCGCCGGCCGCCGCCGTCTGAGCACCGTCCCCGGCGGGGCTGGCGAGTCTATGTCGGTCGCACACACACACACACACCTCTGGCAGCGACCGGGTCCGACACCCTACCATCGCAGCTGCAGACCCAGCTTGGAGGTCTTGAAGTCGGTACGCAGCTGGATGAAACTCATCAGGACAGCACGGTCCAGGCCGGCCTGAAAAACAACCACCGGGCGTGAGATTTGTGTGCATCATCGGGACACTTGATGTTCTTCGAGAGGAACTAGTGTGGCGCAACTTCACACTAAATAGTACGAGTGGTGTTCGGTAGAGATTCAACAACTAAAATGTAAAAGTCACCAGCAAATGTCCCTGGCAGCATACTGTCCGCCATTTACCAGCTATCCCCGTATGCAAGTACTATTGGTGACTTACCAGCTGTCCCTAACAGTGGACCTGTCACTCACCAGCTGTCCCTGGCTGCAGACCTGCCACTCACCAGCTGTCCCTGGCTGCAGACCTGCCACTCACCAGCTGTCTTGGGCTGCGGACACTGTCCTGCCGCTCACCAGCTGCCCCTGGCTGCAGACCTGCCACTCACCAGCTGTCCCTGGCTGCAGACCTGCCGCAGGTTGTCGGGTAGCACCAGCAGCAGGTTGCAGAGCGAGTGCAGCGTCTCGAACAGTGCCGTCACGTGCGCAATCTTCCAGGCGTCCACGCACTTGCGGTACTCATTGACGTCACAGATCACCGCCATCGCGCCTGGGGGACAGAGAACAACATACCGGTCAACACCATACCCTTGTTTGCAGACATTATATGCATCGTCGAAAAAAAAAGAGAATAAATATGAATTATGAATGCTTCTTTAGATACAAAAAGAACTTGTAAATAGAATGATAGAGTTAGATGGCCTCCAAGAGCCCGAAGGAATCGATAGAACCATTCGTGAAGCTAGAACGATCCCATTTATTCGATAGACTCATTAGACAAGAAGAGGAGCAGGTTTACGCAGTCGGCTGGTCTCCGATGTTTCTGCCGTTGTTACAGTCCGGTTCCTGTAAGAGTCGACAGCGAACGAGCTGGTAGCAAGACACAGCTCTGTGGCGTACCTGTGGTGTTGTACTGGAACTGCAGCAGGTGCTCGAGCACCACCCGGTGCAGTCGCTCGCCCAGCTCCGTCAGCACCGCGTCCACGTTCTTGCCGTCGCACGAGTCCTGCACGCGCGCCGCCTGGCCGTTCACGAAACGCACCACCTTCCGACACGCCTGGCCGCACGGAGGAGCGAGTGGGGTCAGTCCTGGTAACAAGTCTTAAGTGCAAATACGGACAGCACCTGATTTACAGTCTTTCAACCTTTTATTATAGCATGCTTTGCATAGCATATCCCGGAAATATGCTGCCAGAACGGAAATGGGTGCGCAAAAGTCCGTGAATATGACGAACAAAAAACTCGGATCGAAAATTACCAACCTACAATAAGAGCCGAGTGACGGCTAGCAATCGAGATACCTGTGTCACAGTTGAGATACCGATAAATCTGATGTTCACAGCGTTCATACCTGTGTGGCCGATGCCAGGACCACCTCCTCGGTGTCGGGTCGGAAGTCGGACTTTTTCTGCTCGGTCTGCAGCAGGACGCGCACCCAGGCACAGGCGGCTGACAGTGTCCTGTCCAGGCCCACATCCAGCTTCGACTGCAGACCGGCCAGCAGAGAGCGCCGCTTCTGCGCCGCCTCCGGCTGGCAGCTGAGGAAGGGAGATACGTGTGGCGCTCAGTGGGAAAGGTACGGACGAGCGGCCGACGGATACACACTCAGTTCGAAGTACCAGTCTGTGAGACATAGCGGTTCAAAGCGGAGAAGAAAAAAAAAACGATGAAAATGCAAGCATAGAACGCCCGAAGCTTGAAGTGTGACCAAGAGCATTTGAGAAGCATGCTAATTGTGATCATTTTCCGTTTATTTTATTGGGTTTCTGTTCATTTCCGTAATTTATACTACGATCAATCTCAAATACAATTAAGCTGAAACGTCGATCTTTAATACGGACTGCATTGTTCGTAATTCCATTGGGCCGAACTCCACTTGGCTCACACAGTGGCAAACCGTAATTCCCCTCTCCCACTCACCTCTAACTCTCTCACTCTGCCTCCAAGTTGTAACTATCTCTGACTCTTACTCTCTCATTCTCTCAGCTCACCTGGATCCGGCCACCAGCGGCAGCAGCGAGTCGGCGTATTGTTTCTCCAGCAGGTGCACCATTCCGTTGGTCTGCCGCACCACGTCGTAAAAGTAGAGCTGCGGCTCGGCCCGCGGCTCGTTCACGGGCACCGCCTGGGAAACGGACACCACACGGGGTACATTGATCAAAGACCCGGGCGAGGTGGGGACGACAATGCGGAAAAGCAAAATTGCAGTCAATTTGGTCAACAACGTCAAAGCCAGGGCGTTTAAGAATGACAGCAAATGAGTAGAAACAAAAATTAACTTTGGCTTAACTTTGATCCACGTTAAGGCTAAGTGAAAGTTATACCCAGTGACGTGGAGTCGCTTAGAGTGCCCCCACAGTGCCAAATGTCTCAGTTACCGACCTGCAGGGCCAGCTCGATGCCGTAGTCGATGTGCTCCACCAGCAGACTGTTGGTGAGGATGTCGAACAGCTGCAGCGCGTTCTGCGCCAGCTCCTGCGGCCGCGACAGCACCTGACAACGCTTCAGCGCCTTCTTTGCTTCCTGAGGACACATGTAAACCGACACATGGAATGAGGCTGGGAACGACTCAAAATTCGTCATAGAACGAAAAGGAGTTCTCTCACCTGGAGTTCACGGATTTACAATCATTGCATGGCAGCTGACCAGTGCCTTGCCCAGACGCAGGCGCCCGAAGCGGTAACGAGCGTGCATCAAATCCTGTAGCAGGCTGATGACGTCTCGGGTCCTCCTGTTACAGGTTGGTGACTGACTGTCCTCTCACCTGTAGCAGGTTGATGGCCGTCTCCTCCGATAGGAACGTTCGTCCGCCGTGGTTCTCCACGGCCGCGATGTTGATACTGGTCTTGGTGCCGAGCACGACGGCCGCCTCCCGGCGCAGCTCGCCCAGGCCGCCGTACAGCACGCGCTTCTGGTGTGACTGGGACGCGTAGTACTCGTCCAGTGTGTCCGAGCACGCCTGGCGCAGCTGCGTCAGCTCCTTGCTGCCGGCACCGAGTGGCCGGGACGGCGGGCGGTCAGACAGAGACGCCGGGACGGCCGGACGGTCAGACAGAGCCACCGAGACAGTCGGCTTGTGCTGGTACACCGACTCTAGCAGCCGGTGTATCAGTCACCAAAACGCTGAATTTCGTTTTGTTTTCGCGATTATTTTTGAACAAGAAAAAAAAAACGGGCAAATTCCGAAGGCGAGCGGTTAAATTATCTAGACTTTTTACGGAAAAAATCAATTTGTAATTTAAAGGGACTATCCCACCTTTAACATGGGGTTTGAGTTGAGATAGGCAAGTTTGCGGCGAGGTTCAGAAACCACTATCTATCTACTATGAACGTCAAACCCCTTGAGACCCCACTTTTTGCGATAATTTTTAAATGCGTCAACTTTCGTTGACAATATTCTGGCAATGCATGTTTCAGAACCTGCCGAAACTTTTATTACTAAGGTATTTTGACGCCAAACGATTATGGAAGGTACTTCTCATTCACTCGTAATGTTGAGGTCAATTCAGGCCCGGGCAGAGGCTTGCGCTCGGCCACACTCGAGCCCCGCCACCAGCGCCATCTGCTCTAAATGCCATCTATCAGCGCCCGCTACCGCTACCAGCTACCGCCTACCATCAAGCCTGAATGGAGCGAGTGACCGGTCGCCGGGCAAGGAGCGCCGGAGGGGTAGGGCGGAGCTTAGCGCTGACGTCATTACGTGGCTCCGCCCCATGAGCGCGTAGCCTCTACCCAAACAGCAGATTCGTTCCGTGAAATTTAACATTACGAGTGAATGAGAAGTACCTTTCATAATCGTTTGGCGTCAAAATACCTTAGTAATAAAAGTTTCGGCAGGTTCTGAAACACACATTGCCAGAATATTGTCAACGAGAATTGACGCATTTAAAAATTATCGCAAAAAAGTGGGGTCTCAAGGGGTTTGACGTCCATAGTAGGTTGCAACCCCCGCGGCCTCTTGGTGTTGAAGAAATTCGTTCCCTTCATTTGAAAATGGGCCTTGTACAAGGCCCTATCTTCGACATGGAGCGACCGTTAGTGTGACGTCACCTCGTTTAGTCATTCTGATTTAAATGGGGTTGTTCGTTGAAAAATCGCTTAACACTTGGTCTGAACTTTGTTGTGGTGCCTACAGAGTAAAAAGAATCAGCTTTATGACAGTAATGTGGCCTGGGGAAGGAGGTAATTTTGGGCTGTGACGTCACATATTTGAAAGTTTGTGTTTGGAATATGGGAAGCCTAAGATGTTTAATGAAAAATAAATGCCAGAACCGTGTTCCTGGTCATCCAATCTATAAAGTCGGGCACAATTTAACTGGTTTTAACAACATTTTAGAAGGTGGGATAGTCCCTTTAAACGAAAGTTTTTTATATTTACGATTAATTTGGGTATAACTAGCGTATATGCCTATTCAGTGATGAATAGTGTGCGGGGTGCCCTTCGCTGTGCGGAGTTGGTGCATTCGCTCCTACCTGATGTATGTGTTGATGTACTCTTGGAACAGCTTTTTGGCGAGTTTGCTGAGGAACGAGCTGTCGTGGCCCATGTTGAACTTGGCCAGCTGTTTGGTGAGGTGCTGTGTGCGCGAGTAGAGCTCGCACAGCTGGTCCAGGTAGCGCGCGCCGCTCGACTGGTCTGCCAGCGTCTGGTGGCGGGACGGACACAGCGCGATTCGTTATAGGTACACCTCGAATGTCACACTCCAGTGGAAACCTGACCAAACAGTGGCTAATGAATCGAGCGCGACAGAATGATCGATGAAATAATGGGAGTCTAGTGCAGGGCTGCGGAGTCGGAGTCGGAGTCGGAGTCGGTCGGAGTCGACAGTTGTGACCGGAGTCGGAGTCGAAGTCGGAGTCGATTTTAGAAACCCGAGCCGGAGTCGGAGTCGGAGTCACCGAAAATCTGTCGACTCCGCAGCCCTGCTAGGTCTGCGGAGTCGGAGTCGGGAGTTGGAGTCGGTCGGAGTCGACAATTCTGCCCGGAGTCGGAGTCGGAGCTGGTTTTTGAAAGCCGGAGTCGGAGTCGGAGTCGGAGTCGCCGAAAATCCATCGACTCCGCAGCCCTGGTCTAGTGTACCGCAATGGCGATTCTACTATACATTTAGTGCAGCAAAAGTGGCAACCACGACCTGATACCTAAATCGTAATAATAAACAACACAATTAAAGACCCCAAACAAATGCTCAATTGAAAGCACTCACCGAAATTAACAATACGTGAGAACGTGGACAACTAACGAGTAACCTTACAAAGCAGTAAGCAGAGATAAATATGCATATTGTATTACATAATTATGCCAACACAGCCAGTCTCGCTCCTGTAGCGAGCTGTGGCCAGCCCGGCTGCTGCACAGAGCACCCACCTGGTGGAGGTGCTCCTGTAGTCTGCCCTGGAAGATGGTGAGCACGAAGCGGCCCATCACCTGGGCCGGGTTGTGGAACACGTAGTGGATAAGCGCCTCGTTCCTCTCACACACGGGAACAATCTCCCGGAAAATGTCCCGGCTGACAAACATGCCCTGAAACAGCAGAGCCGATGGTCAGAAACAGGCGAACAGATGCTGAATATACCAGCTTTAGTGCAATGCAAGTTGACTAAGAGTGCTCAGTTAAGGTTTTTGTCCTGCCTTTATCGTATCGGGCGGCGGACCGGTTAGCGAAATAGACGGTAATGATCCGTTATCATGTCGGAGAAGTTGTCAACATGCTGACGGCGTCCCGCCGACGACCCCGCTAAGCACTCACCATCTGACTCTGCTCGATAAAGGCGTCCACGCACTGCGAGAAACCCTTGAACTGGGCCACCACGGCCGCCACCTCCTTCATGGCGTCACGGTCGTCTCGCTTCTGGGCCGAGACGAACCGCTCGATCAGCCGCCGCTCCACGGCGTCATACTTCTGACTGATCCGGGCGCGGGCGCCCTCGAACCTGCCGACAACGAAAACATTCCGTCAGCTAAAGGCTTCTTATTATAGGGAGTATGAGCTGGACTTTTGTAGGAAGGGTGAAGTTTTCCTTCGAGCCAGCAGAAAGAATGAGTGAGTGAGTACGTGGGTGAGTGATGAGCTTAAAAGAAATAAATGTATTTTTTATACATTTATTTGCAGCGACTTGCAGGCGCTGATTTTCAAAACACATGAGGTACTATCATAAGCCAATGATCACTGTTTCTTGTTCACTTACTTTGCCGATGGTAGCTCTTGGGATATCAGGTACAACTTCTGTATGACATCTGCCGCTTCAAAAATCTGGGAACGTCACAGGCTTCAAATTAGTGCTGTTTAAATATAAAAATAAATCTAATCGTCTTCAATGACAATACCAATAAAAAGATCAAATAACACCTCGATCTTACGATATGAGCCAGGAGCATATTGTATGTGTATTAACCCGCGCGGGGCTGGGGGGGGGGGTAAATTTTACCCCCCCTCGCGAATTTTTGCAATATCTCAAAAACGGCGGCGCGCAGCGCCGCCAAACTTTCAGTACCTTTTCTTACATCAATTTGACACGTTCCCTGAAAATTTGAGCGAAATCCGTCGGAAAATTTTTGAGAAATTGATGTTTTAGTGACGTCATGTTCGCCATTTTCGCCTCAAAAACGGCAAAAGTTCAAACGCCGCTAACATCTTCATTTTTAAAGGAATCAAGACGTAACAAAAAAGGTTATACGTAATTCTACTTTGTCTATCAAATGGCTATCTCGGTTTTTTTTTTAAATGTTGGATTTTGGCCCAAATTTTTTTTTCTCAAAAAACTGACTTTTTTGGGAAAATAATTATAAAATCCAAAATTTTGAGTGTATCGAAAAAACCGGAATATGTGTCAGAGGAGTGGTCTATGTGCACCTACATACCAATTTTTAGAAGAATCGGTTCAAAAATGTGAGAGTTATTAAAGATTTTATGACGTCACGACACACAAAAATTTTGAAAAAATGATTTTTTGGAAGTTCTAGACCTCGTACGGAAACAAAAATAGCACCATTCGATTCGCCGTGAAAAAATGCATCAAATAGACACCTTTTTAGGCCTTAACCCGCGCCCTGCTGGGGGGGGTGTTTGAACACCCCCCCTTGTGGTTTTTCGCGAATATCTCAAAAACGGCGGCGCGGAGCGCCGCCGTTTTTGGTACACCTTATCATACATCAATTCTACACATGTTGTGAAAATTTCAGACCAAGGTCATTCAAGGTCAGGTCACCAGGTCACTTGAAGTGACCTCACCTCATAAAAACTTTCAATGTCTGTCATAGCTACACCGAGTGACCGATCGCTTTGAAACTTTCAGCGATTGCTAAGAGCAATAGCATGTACAAAATGTATATCTCAGAATTTTGATATCGATGACCTAAGGTCAGGTCAATTTTGCGACCTCCCCATTATAAGTCAATGGGAGAAAATTGAAATGCGCCACTTTTGGATGAAAGACATTATAAACACTCCCAAACACCGAATTACAAGTGGTTTAGACACACTGAACTTAAAAATGGTGTCCGTGACCCTTGTTTATGCCCTGAGGTCATCTTAGGTCACGAATGGTATCTAACAGTTTTTCGCAAATAACTTTTGATAGAGGCATGCTAGAGCGATGAAAACGCCTTAGATGTGTTCAGCTCGACGATACGGATCGACTGATATGCAACATGACCCTTTCCGGTCAGGTCATGACCTTGACCTGAGGTCAAATTTTCAAGTTGACCTTTCAAGGTCAAGTTATAGTTCATTCGATGCGTCTTGACGAGAGGAACACGATGCCGGTAAAAGTAAGCTCGTACAAGGCTTGGGTCAAAAGTTATTGCAGAAAAACTGTTTTCAAAAAAATCGGCTATTTTTGCAGTTTTTGCCCCCTGCAGGCAAAACCGTTGACGTTAGGTCAAATCTGAGAGAATTACTCAGAAAGGGCGTTAATAGGGCTATCGAATGCGCTTTTCCGCGGCGCTGTAGCTCTATTGGTTCCCGAGTTATGCGTTGGCTTCTTGGAAATTTTCGACATTCGACCTGGAAATCGGCGAAATTTTGCCTTCAATTACCTCTGGTGACCTGACCTTTGACCTGACCAAAAAATTGACCGAAGTGATTTCGTCATTATTTTTTACGCTCTTTCGAACGCCGCCTTCCGCGTATCGCTACGTGGCCCAGGAGCCGAGTTACAAGGGGGGGTGTTCAAACACCCCCCCCCCCAGCAGGGCGTGGAAATCCAGGACCCCCAGCAGGGCGCGGGTTAACGACCAACTTCAAAATTTGACCTCACTTGACCTGACCTTGACCTGACCTCGACCTGAAATTCATCCAGAGGTGGTCCATATCACTTATTGAGTGTGCCTATTGAATTCTATGAGTAAAATGACCCATAAAACATGTGTCGAACATGCCCTTTTCCATATTTTGTTTTTTGGTGACCTGACCTGACCTGACCTGACCTTGGCCTTGACCACTGAATGATATTGTATGCAACGAATATTGTCTTGGTAGCCTAAGAACACGTTTTGGGCAATCAGTCTCAGTCGATGACTCCATTCTTCGGCAACTACGGTGCAAGGTCGATACTGTAGAAACTTGCAATTTGTACCCTTGACCTGACCTTGACCTTGACCTCAAACTTTAAATTAAGTACATGTTTATAGTAGTTCGTGATGAGATCTTTCGATTGGCGTTTGATTTTTCCAAATCGGACCATTAGTTCGGGAGGGGGGGGGGGTAAAATTTACCCCCCCCCCAGCCCCGCGCGTTCGGCTGGAGACCCCAGCCCCGCGCGGGTTAAGTAAAAAAAAAAAAACGGTAAAAAAATGTGAAGAAAAATATCCGATTTACATCGCTCGGCGGCGCCACCCACCCGGTCCTTATCGTCGAACAGCTCGTCAGAGGGCGCCTCGGCGTCGATGAAGCGGTTGAGGTGCTGCATCAGTCGGAGGGCGCGCTCGTCGCGCGAGCGGGGTGTATTGACGCTCTCCAGCTGGTCGCCCAGGTGCACCACCTTTGTGGCCACGAAGCTAATCTTTTCGTCCAGCTGGTGCAGGATGCTGAAGTCCTCCTGGATTCGAGGACTCAAGATGTGTTACCTTTCTGTCGTATTTGATCAACACAACACAACAGTTTTGACGCCATAGCGGGCGTGTTACGTTACCGGGAAACACGCGTTATCCAGGTCAGTGAACGAGGTGAGATGGCCGAATGGTTATCCCCCGCTCGACGATCGCGGGTCGGAGTCGGACACCAGTCGGAGGAGGAGGACGTTCTGTCCAAAGGAGGTCAGGCGACCTCCACTGGCCATTCACCTCCTGGCATGTGAATGAGTGGCTCCTTACCATGTATAAGGTAAGGTGAGCTGCAAACATTGACACTAAACAAAACTAGGATTTGGATACTACTGACCTTATTTCTGTCCATAAGTCTGTAGACTCTCTGAGAATATTTAGACTCCTCTTCTGTGAGCTTGGCCTCCAGCTCATCACACTCCCTTTGTTGTTTTCTTTGTATGTCTGTCAACTGTCTGCAACAGAAACACAAGTGGATTTTAAAACACCATTTATCAAACACCATTCATATTTGTAAGAAGCAAATACCACTAGCAAATACCACTGTTAAAACAGAATTGAAATGAGCCAGTCACCTGGGAAGTGGACTGTGACAACTCACTACAAACTAACACTAACCTTACTAAAACAATGCTGCGAGTAGATATAGTTATGGCATGTGTGGAACATGCAGGGGAAAACCAATCAAATGTGTATCTTACCTGATGGCAGATGTAAATGCATCATGGATAATTTGTGGGTTGAAATCTTCATTGTCAGATTTCACTGACAATGAGCCATTACTTGCCTTCCAAGCTAACCTTTCTACAAAATCTTCTGCACTAAATGATTCCTGTAAACAGAAAACAGCCATTGCCAACGTCATGTAATATTGATACAGCATGCAAACCATACAAACATGACATTGGAGAGCTGCCTTAGAAATTTCAAAAGCACATCAAAAGATATTGTGACAAGATAAGCATGTTTTTATACCTGCCACTATTACTATTTATCTTTATCAAGAAAGTTTTAAAAGTTAGTAAGAGTAAAATACATTATTGTCAGCCAAAAGGAAAGTCTGCATACAGAAGAAAGAGAAATATTAAATATCCTCACCTGCTCCACCTCATCCAGCAGCTTATACATCATCATTTTTGGTGTTATTAATGACCAAATAATTCACTCTGAAAAATGGAAAGTTAGGTGAGACACAAATAAAAAATGACATATTTAAGCAAGCAAGAATGTTGCAAAAAAACATTTAAGATAATTTGCGTGTCAGCCCAGGAAAAAGATAAAATGAAAATTGAGGCAATTGGTGTCTAATTTAAAAAAGGCCTGATAACCAACAAGAAATTAACAAAATTAGTAGCTACCTAACAAATATTTTCAATTTCCTAATGTTTTGATAGAGACCATTGCAACGTTGACATTGACATCAAGCTTCGTACCATGTCCAAATTCATCCAGAATTGTTAAGTTCATACCTTACCTACCTTACCTTAATTTGATCGGAATTTAGAGGCCACTTGGCCTGTAGGGAACCGTTCTCATCGAGCTCTTGACATATTTGACCTTTCTAACTCCTATCAGGTATCTTGTACCTGATGTTTGCCCAGTGGGCATCCAGTCTTGATTTGAACTGCTCAATAGAAGCAGCGTCCACGACCGTTTGAGGCAAGCCGTTCCAATCATTGACGACCCTAACACTGAACGATTTCCTCCTTGACCTGGTGTCGGCTCTGGGCTTCTGGACCTTCTGCGTGTGACCTCGAGTACGGCCGTCCGTGGCAGCATTAAAGAAGTCTTCAGGAGCCAAGTCAACGCCTCCATGGAACAGCTGGTACATTTGAATCATGTCGCCTCGCCGCCGACGATAGAACAGTGAAGGCAGTTTCAGTGTTTGTAGGCGCTCTTCATAGGGAAGGTGTCTGATTGAGGTTACCAGGCGCGTTGCTCTCCTCTGGACTCGCTCAATCAACAGTTGATCAGCACGATTGAACGGGCCCCACGCCACATTGCCGAATTCCAAGTGTGGGCGTACCAGTGTCTTGTACAACAGTGGAAGAGTTGACTTGTCGATGAGCTCGAACGATCGCCTGATGATTCCCAGGATCTGGTTGGCCTTCGCCGCAGCAGCAGCAGCCTGTTTGCGAAACTTCAGCGAAGAGTCCACGTGGACACCGAGATCGCGTTCAGCTTCAACCGCCTGCAATTCGACTCCTCCAATAGTGTATTTGATCCGAGGGTTGTGGCGTCCCAGATGCAGGATTTTGCATTTCCCCTCGTTGAATGGGAGCTGCCAGCGGTCGGACCATGCCACCAGAGCATCGATGTCGCCTTGGAGAGATGTCGTTGCCGTTGGGACTTGCACCAACTGCATGGGCGATGGTTGGGCAGAGTGGTATCTGCCATCTCCGTTAGGAGAGACAGCCACCTCTCCCTCCGCATCAGCCTCAGGCAGGGCACCGCCGGTGTTCCGACTATGCGCATCCTTCGCCGGTTGGGTATGTTGGGTGGGGTGGTCTCTGCCAGCTCTGGGAGCGACAGCCAGCCCCTCAACCTCGGCGGCTTCTGAGGAGACTCTGTTTTGTATTTTCCGGTAGAGCTTTGTGTCGTCAGCAAACATCTTCACCGAGCAGTCGACCACAGAGGGGATGTCGTTCACAAACAGCAGGAACAGGAGGGGCCCCAGGACTGATCCTTGAGGGACTCCGCTCCTGACGGCAGCGGGTTCCGAGTGGCTTCCGTTCACGACTACTTCTTGCTTGCGTTCGGATAAGAATGCCTGGATCCACTGAAGAAGATTGCCTGAGATACCAGAGCACCTTAGTTTTTTAGTAGACGCGTGTGAGGGACTGCGTCAAACGCCTTTCGGAAGTCCAGGTATGCCACGTCAACAGAGTCACCTTGTTCAAGTATGTTGGTCCATTCCTCCAGCACCTCGAGAAGCTGTGAGCTGCAGGACCTTCTGGGACGGAACCCGTGTTGGTGTCTAGACAGCTGGCCGGTGGAGGTCAGGAACTCAATCAGCTCGTCGCGCACCAGTGATTCCATGACTTTGCATGGGATGCATGTCAGGCTGATTGGCCGGTAGTTCCCCGGAGTGCTTCTGCTCCCCTTTTTGTGGATTGGAACCACTTTTGCCGATTTCCATATCGAAGGGAGAGTTCCTTGTTGTAGGGATTCACGATACAATGTGGACAGCGGGCCAGCCAAGGCTGAGGAGGCAAGCTGCAGTAGTTTAGGATGCAGATCATCTTTAGGATGCAGATGCATTCATCATATCATACTATGTGTGGTTTCCAATTGCTTGACACTACACTTTTTCAGAAATTAAATTCTGACCAACTGAGGGATTACCCACAGCTCTTATGCCATAACTTTAGAACAGCAAACTCCACCAGTTCAATTCAGTCGGAAACCGTAATATAATTGACGCCAAATCAACAAAAATTAGTCAAACCTAAACGATTTCGCCCAACCTTACCCTTCTCCTTCCTTTACGTATACGATAATAGCTAAAAATTCAACACTTATCAACCAACTTTAATCATAGCAATGTCAAATCAGCATTTCTTTAAGGACGACGGTGAAAACAGGGCGCCTGGGGCGATTTGATCAAGGTTCGTGAAATTTACACGTGACGTTTGGCATATAGAAGGCCCATGAAGCGGGAGCAGTTCCAAATGTCACGTGACTTATATGCCCTCCGGCGCCCTGTTTTCACCGGCGTCCTTCTTTAAAAGAGAAATATTTCAATGCCGGGCTTTTTTTTGGCCCTGTTTCAGCGTATGATATTACCAATGTTGACGTTCAGTTTCCATAGAAATCTAAGGACATATTAGCAATTCTGCCTACGTTTCTATGGAAACTGAACGCCAATATTGATAGCGTAAGAACACTAAAACATGTAACGGAAGTTAGCAGGGATTCAGCAGGGGTTCAGCAGGGATTCAGCAGGGATCGACGGCCCCTACGATTTCGCTGAATTTTGGTGGAGAGGTGCAGAATGGTGTCCTCTATCGAAAATCTTAGTGCCAAAATGCGGGGAATCCATCAGGGGGGCCACAAATCCCAAAAAACAGTATGCCCTCAGGGCACAATCGACGAACTTTGAAAACCCTACTTCCAAGGCCCTATATAGAAGGTATGCTCATTAGGCCGAAGCAGCGATTTCCGTGACGTCACAGGTACGAAGGGTCGGACGGCTGTAATGCAATCCTATGGAAAATGACCCAACTTTAGGGCTCTCCCACATAGCTGCCAACCTCGACACTAAGGTAAAAGTTATATCACATAAAAGCTCAAATCAAGACGAACAAGAAACCTATCTGACGTTTTTACGTATTACTAACGGCGTAGACTCTATTCAAGTATATTCAGAGCTCTGCATTACCTCACTTTTTCTGCAGTCAATGCCACTACAAATGTCTAGTCGGCGCACGTGCGCTTGTCGAGCGGGGACCACCAGTCGGACGATTCAGAGCTGCCGCCCAATCAGAACGCCGCAATGCCGTGACGTCATTGGTCGCACACGACACGTTACGGAGATAGGGATGAGACAGCCCTGCCCTACTTCTAGCCGTCAAAACAGCTAAAAATGCACGTCATTCGAAAGAGGACAAAATTTTACAAGCAACGGTACCAAATTTAGGGGGCTAGCGCCCCCCTGAACCGAACAAAACAGCTTCAAATATATGGGCCCGGGAGTATGCCCTCGGGGCATAAATAAAAGTTTTCAACAATTTCAGGCCTATAATATCGACAAAATCCAGCAATATGCACATCATTGGAAAGAGCGTAATTTCCCAAACAAAAAACTTAAGTAACATTTTTCAATGGGGCCCACCTGGGGCCCACAGGACCCAATTGAAATTTGGGGCCCAATGGGGCGGCCCCTACGATTTTCTTCAAAATTTGCACAGACACTCTCCTGGGCCCCCTCTTCAATCTGGCTGAAGAAACCTACCGGGGAATCCAAAGGAAGGGGCCCAAAAAGGGCCCCAAAGAGGCCCTTTCTAAGTATTGCCCCTAATTTCGCGACCAACCCCGGCAATATGCACATCATTGGAAAGAGCGTAATTTCCCAAACAAAAAACCCAAGTAACATTTTTTGATGGGGCCCACCTGGGGCCCACGGGACCCAATTGAAATTTGGGGCCCAATGGGGCGGCCCCTACGATTTTCTTCAAAATTTGCACAGACACTCTCCTGGGCCCCCTCTTCAATCTGGCTGAAGAAACCTACCGGGGAATCCAAAGGAAGGGGCTCAAAGAGGGCCCCAAAGAGGCCCTTTTTAAGTATTGCCCCTAATTTTGCGACCAACCCCGGCAATATGCACATCATTGGAAAGAGTGTAATTTCCCAAACAAAAAACCCAAGTAACATTTTTCGATGGGGCCCACCTGGGGCCCACGGGCCCAATTGAAATTTGGGGCCCAATGGGGCGGCCCCTACGATTTTCTTCAAAATTTGCACAGACACTCTCCTGGGCCCCCTCTTCAATCTGGCTGAAGAAACCTACCGGGGAATCCAAAGGAAGGGGCCCAAAGAGGGCCCCAAAGAGGCCCTTTCTAAGTATTGCCCCTAATTTTGCGACCAACCCCGGCAATATGCACATCATTGGAAAGAGTGTAATTTCCAAAACAAAAAACTCAAGTAACATTTTTCGATGGGGCCCACCTGGGGCCCACGGGACCCAATTGAAATTTGGGGCCCAATGGGGCGGCCCCTACGATTTTCTTCAAAATTTGCACAGACACTCTCCTGGGCCCCCTCTTAAATCTGGCTGAAGAAACCTACCGGGGAATCCAAAGGAAGGGGCCCAAAGAGGGCCCCAAAGAGGCCCTTTCTAAGTATTGCCCCTAATTCTGCGACCAACCCCGGCAATATGCACATTATTGGAAATAGCGTAATTTCCCAAACAAAAAACCCAAGTAACATTTTTCGATGGGGCCCACCTGGGGCCCACAGGACCCAATTGAAATTTGGGGCCCAATGGGGCGGCCCCTACGATTTTCTTCAAAATTTGCACAGACACTCTCCTGGGCCCCCTCTTCAATCTGGCTGAAGAAACCTACCGGGGAATCCAAAGGAAGGGGCCCAAAAAGGGCCCCAAAGAGGCCCTTTCTAAGTATTGCCCCTAATTTCGCAACCAACCCCGGCAATATGCACATCATTGGAAAGAGCGTAATTTCCCAAACAAAAAACCCAAGTAACATTTTTTGATGGGGCCCACCTGGGGCCCACGGGACCCAATTGAAATTTGGGGCCCAATGGGGCGGCCCCTACGATTTTCTTCAAAATTTGCACAGACACTCTCCTGGGCCCCCTCTTCAATCTGGCTGAAGAAACCTACCGGGGAATCCAAAGGAAGGGGCCCAAAGAGGGCCCCAAAGAGGCCCTTTCTAAGTATTGCCCCTAATTTTGCGACCAACCCCGGCAATATGCACATCATTGGAAAGAGTGTAATTTCCCAAACAAAAAACCCAAGTAACATTTTTCGATGGGGCCCACCTGGGGCCCACGGGACCCAATTGAAATTTGGGGCCCAATGGGGCGGCCCCTACGATTTTCTTCAAAATTTGCACAGACACTCTCCTGGGCCCCCTCTTCAATCTGGCTGAAGAAACCTACCGGGGAATCCAAAGGAAGGGGCCCAAAGAGGGCCCCAAAGAGGCCCTTTCTAAGTATTGCCCCTAATTTCGCGACCAACCCCGGCAATATGCACATCATTGGAAAGAGCGTAATTTTCCAAACAAAAAACCCAAGTAACATTTTTCGATGGGGCCCACCTGGGGCCCACAGGACCCAATTGAAATTTGGGGCCCAATGGGGCGGACCCTACGATTTTCTTCAAAATTTGCACAGACACTCTCCTGGGCCCCCTCTTCAATCTGGCTGAAGAAACCTACCGGGGAATCCAAAGGAAGGGGCCCAAAGAGGGCCCCAAAGAGGCCCTTTCTAAGTATTGCCCCTAATTTCGCGACCAACCCCGGCAATATGCACATCATTGGAAAGAGCGTAATTTCCCAAACAAAAAAAAAATAAACATTTTTCGATGGGGCCCACCTGGGGCCCACGGGACCCAATTGAAATTTAGGGCCCAATGGGGCGGCCCCTACGATTTTCTTCAAAATTTTTACAGACACTCTCCTGGGCCCCCTCTTCAATCTGGCTGAAGAAACCTACCGGGGAATCCAAAGGAAGGGGCCCAAAGAGGGCCCCAAAGAGGCCCTTTCTAAGTATTGCCCCTAATTTCGCGACCAACCCCAGCAATATGCACAGCATTGGAAAGAGCATAATTTCCCAAACAAAAAACCCAAGTAACATTTTTCGATGGGGCCCACCTGGGGCCCACGGGACCCAATTGAAATTTGGGTCCCAATGGGGCGGCCCCTACGATTTTCTTCAAAATTTGCACAGACACTCTCCTGGGCCCCCTCTTCAATCTGGCTGAAGAAACCTACCGGGGAATCCAAAGGAAGGGGCCCAAAGAGGGCCCCAAAGAGGCCCTTTCTAAGTATTGCCCCTAATTTCGCAATTAACCCCGGCAATATGCACAACATTGGAAAGAGCGTAATTTCCCAAACAAAAAACCCAAGTAACATTTTTCGATGGGGCCCACCTGGGGCCCACGGGACCCAATTGAAATTTGGGGCCCAATGGGGCGGCCCCTACGATTTTCTTCAAAATTTGCACAGACACTCTCCTGGGCCCCCTCTTCAATCTGGCTGAAGAAACCTACCGGGGAATCCAAAGGAAGGGGCCCAAAGAGGGCCCCAAAGAGGCCCTTTCTAAGTATTGCCCCTAATTTCGCGATTAACCCCGGCAATATGCACATCATTGGGAAGAGCGTAATTTCCCAAACAAAAAACCCAAGTAACATTTTTCGATGGGGCCCACCTGGGGCCCACGGGACCCAATTGAAATTTGGGGCCCAATGGGGCGGCCCCTACGATTTTCTTCAAAATTTGCACAGACACTCTCCTGGGCCCCCTCTTCAATCTGGCTGAAGAAACCTACCGGGGAATCCAAAGGAAGGGGCCCAAAAAGGGCCCCAAAGAGGCCCTTTCTAAGTATTGCCCCTAATTTCGCGACCAACCCCGGCAATATGCACATCATTGGAAAGAGCGTAATTTCCCAAACAAAAAACCCAAGTAACATTTTTTGATGGGGCCCACCTGGGGCCCACGGGACCCAATTGAAATTTGGGGCCCAATGGGGCGGCCCCTACGATTTTCTTCAAAATTTGCACAGACACTCTCCTGGGCCCCCTCTTCAATCTGGCTGAAGAAACCTACCGGGGAATCCAAAGGAAGGGGCCCAAAGAGGGCCCCAAAGAGGCCCTTTCTAAGTATTGCCCCTAATTTTGCGACCAACCCCGGCAATATGCACATCATTGGAAAGAGTGTAATTTCCCAAACAAAAAACCCAAGTAACATTTTTCGATGGGGCCCACCTGGGGCCCACGGGACCCAATTGAAATTTGGGGCCCAATGGGGCGGCCCCTACGATTTTCTTCAAAATTTGCACAGACACTCTCCTGGGCCCCCTCTTCAATCTGGCTGAAGAAACCTACCGGGGAA